AGAAATCTGTTTATAGGGTCCATATCGATAAAACTGTTGATAGGGTCCATGTCGAGAAATCTGTTTATAGGGTCCATGTCGATAAAACTGTTGATAGGGTCCATGTCGAGAAATCTGTTTAATAAGGTCCATGTCGATAAATCTAGTTGATAGTGTCCATGTCGATAAAACTGTTGATAAGGTCAAAGTCGATAAAACTGTTGATAGGGTCCATGTCGATAAAACTGTTGATAGGGCCCATGTCGAGAAATCTGTTGATAGGGTCCATGTCGATAAAACTGTTGATAGGGTCCAAGTCGATAAAACTGTTGATAGGGTCCATGTCGAGAAAACTGTTCACAGGGTCCATGTCGATAAAACTGTCGATAGGGTCCATGTCGAAAAAAGCTGTTGATAGGGTCCATGTCGAGAAAACTGTTGACAGGGTCCATGTCGAGAAAACTGTTGACAGGGTCCATTTCGATAAAACTGTTAACAGGGTCCATGTCGATAAAACTGTTGATAGGGTTCATGTCGATAAAACTATTGACAGGGTCCATGTCGAGAAATATGTTGAATATTCACTAAATAGTGGCGTACAAGGAGAAGGGGGCAAAGGCCATGAGGAGGGTATATTCTACTCATAATCACAGACAAATTTACAAAAGTAGCCTGCGTTGAGGGTTGGATAATCCGGCTGTAAATTCCCGCCATTTGTATAGAGTTATTTCATTATACAGTGATTGTGTGTCTGACATTAGGCTTTTTTATAACAGGCCACTTCCCACAGGAAACATCGTGCTCTCTCTTTGGTCCAGTCTCTGGCCCCGGGCCTGGTTTGGTTTGTTCTGAATTTCGCGCAAAGCTACACGAAGGTTATCTGCGCTAGCCGTCCCTAATTTAGCAGTGAAAGACTAGAGGGAAGGCAGCTAGTCATCACCACCCACCGACAACTCTTGGGCTACTATTTTACCAACGAATAGTGGGATTGACCGTCACATAATAACGCCCCCACGGCTGAAAGGGCGAGCATGTTTGGTGGGACGATGATTCGAATACGCGACCCTCAGATTGCGAGTCGAGCGCCCTAACCACCTGGCCATGCCGGATCCCCCGGGCCTGGAACACCGCTATTATTTTTCGAGCTTAGATGGTCTAACAAACTTGTTACAGCAATGTTCGTATTGTTTATTAAATATAAACGTTTCGAAACTGCAAGTTGTTGAACAGAGAAGTAGTTCTAATCATGAGGTTCGTTGTTACATACAAAGCTATACAATGGGCTTTCTGTGCTCTACCCACCGCGGGCATCGAAACCCAATTTTAGCGTTATAAGCGTTAGTCGAGCTTACCGTTGAACCACCGAGGCACAAAGTTCTTTCAAGCGTAAAATCACTGATGAATTAGTACCAAATGAAGACAAATGCTTGACGTTTTGTGCTTTGTCAAAATGCACGTGATATGAAAGTTAAAAAACAACAACTTGAATGTGTTATTTTGTCACAAGAAAATGCATTCCGTTCTTCCCCAGGGTCTTTTTAAATAACTAAAATGCATATCTTAGTAATCCAATTGTTCCTACGGCAAGTCTGGGGGATTATAACGCTGAGAATAGGGTTTCGATTCCCGCGGTGGGTAGAGCACAGATAGCTCATTGATGTTTATCTTCTGCAGTCTTTTAGCAAATGGGGAAATAAAGTAGGTAACGTTTCACGTCATTCTGTCAGTTTTCGCACGAATTTCTAACCTGGCTTCGTACACACAGACATTTGAAAAGGAATCATTTATCTAATACGAAACATATTTACCAAAATGTCGCTTTGAGCTCTTCCGGAAATAGTTTATTTCAAATAACTATATTATAGAATTTTTTAAATCCAGTAAACGTAATATTACACTTGGAAATAGAAAGTACATGCGAAACTTACGATGCAAACTGTTTTCTCAGTATTCTTTTCACGAAAGTAGGAACCGAATTGTGTGTACTAACGTGTTGTTTACGTTATTCAACGCTAAAGAGAACGTATAGCCGTCAGCTTTTCTAGCATGCTATTAACGACTCGTCCTACTTCTGTACTGCCGATAAAAAGACACACTACAGGCACGTATCTTAATCGAATTCTATTGGAGTGAGTCATCGGTGTCGCGTTTTCAGGTCGGCTGGTACAGCACGTGATAACACTGCTTAGACATCGAATCACTAGGGTGAGCGATCTTATTACACAATGAACCGGTGATAATTGTCAATTAATTTTCAAAAGATAACTGGTTATATACAATGTTGACTGTGTACAATATATATATATATATATAT